GGCTCCTCCGATACTAGTGGGGCCACACACGGCCACTCATCGGCCTTAATCTAGCCACACACACACCCTCACCAGCCTTAGTCAGCCATATACACGACCAGACCGGCCTTAATTTCTACCACACCAGAATCAGCTTCACTCAGCCACATACCCACACACACCGGCCTTCACTTGTCCACACACACGCACACACCAGCAGTATACAGCCACACACACGCACACACCAATAGTATACAGCCGCACACACACACACACACCGACCTTCACTCGGCCACGCCCACACCGGCCTTCACTCGGCCACACACACACACACATCGGCCTTTACTTGGCCACTCACACACACACACACACACACACACAAGCAGTATACACATACTACATTACTCAACCAGAATGTCACCGCAAAATACACATTACACTCACCCCTACCGGTCTCGATTCGGCCACACACACTATCATACACTAGCACCAGTACCGGCGCCACAACCTCCCTCTCTACCGTCGCCAATATCGGTGCACCAGCATTTACCTCCACCGGTACCAATATCGGCACCTCACCAGCAAAATCGACCCCAAATCTCGCGATACAACTCGGCCTAACTCCATTTCGGCAGACTCCCTTCCTTCTCCCTCACTTCCACTCGATTCACTCACCATTCCTCATCTCTCTACTTCCTCACAACTCGAAATCCTCCATATTAACAACCTGAATAGAAATCCAAACCATATCACCATATCAACGTCTGAGTATCTGAATTTATTTACCTCTAGCCTCCATCTCCTCCTAGTTCGGTAAGATCGTTTTCACTCGTACGCTTCTTCAAACTCCGCTATCTATCTCTCTTTCAACTTCTTCACTCTCCCTCCTTCCTCGTCGACTGGCCTCTCCCACTCTTCCCTTTTTTTCTTTTTTTTTTTTTTTTTTTCTTTTCTACTCTCTTTTTATATACTCATTTCCCCATCAAATCCTAACCGTTCATCCTAGCCCTCTAATCCTCACCACTCGTTTGTTTGACCCTCCTCCACTTTGACCCTGCTAAAGTATTACATAGGACTTGTCAATTTACCTTCATTTATAGGACTAAATTTGAAATAAACTTAAAAATTATATAAATTTTATTTATAACTTACGTATAATTTAACTACGATAAAAATATAAATCGTAATAAGATAATAAAATATTTAAATACATATAACATTTTATCTAAAATTATAACAACAAAATATTTAAATTGTTAGATATTAATATTTTTATTCATCCATACAAAGTTATAGATTTAAGTTTAACTATAAATTTTTAGTATATGTACCCTTATTATGATGTTCTAGTATAAATATATCAACTTATAATAAATATATGAATTTCAAACTAAAATATAGTTAAAACACTATGCTTGAATGTCACTTATTAATCAACATATAAATCATCAATTAGGTGATCTAGTTGTTAATATTTTTATTTTCAAACTTCAACAATGAAGTATATAATTCATCATTTTATAATTATATTATGAATTAATAATAATTACAGTGATTTAAATATATTATTTTATATATAATATAGACAACGTGTTAGAAACTAGCCCGATACACAAAATACATCTTAGAGTTGCACCACTCCTGAAATTAGTTAACCAACGGCTCGGCCCGGCACAGTGATGGGTCGGTTGAAATTGTTGTTTGGGTCCGGCTCATAGTACAATGGCGGCCTGAGTGTGGCCCATTATTGGCTCTTTACAATTTGCAGTAAAGATAGTTATGGCAAATTTAATTTCTTTATTTTTTATGATTTATTTATTGCCAGAAAAATAATACAAGTGATATATAAATTAGATTTAAATTAATTAGATTATCAAAAGTAATAAAAAATAAACCAAATAAACTATGGGTGTAGTCAAATAATTATAAGTATAAAATTATGTTTTTTTTTTTTTTTTTTAAAGGGAAAAAGATAAGATCTCTGATTCAGCAAGGCAATAAAGGAGAGTGATACAATGATTATATATGGTATGACATAATTTAATACGAAATCTTGTTTTATTTTTATACGTATTTATTTGTCCATGTGATTTTCTTAATACCATTAAAACAAAAATACCAGTTAATATAAATATAGAATATACTATAAAGTTTAATAATTCTAATTATAATTTTTTATATTTATTTATTATATAATTTCAATATAATTTATGGTTAGGAAAATTTTAGAGACTCGATTTATAATTTTTGTAAATAATTTTTGTTTCTAAAATATTGTTGTAGTTTTGATATTTTACTAAAATCATAATAATATAAATAATGAGTATAGCTCAAGTTAAATATCTGATAACAATTTTTATATAGAATTGCTGCTATTATGCTAAAAATTTTATCAAAAAATAAGATTGGTATAGCTAAAAAACTAAATAAAAATTAGATTTTGTAAGTTAAATATATTATTCTATATTTATATAGTTAACATTAATGTATTGTTTTATCTTCATATAGTACATATATTTTTTATATTTTAAAATTTGGATATAAAATATCTAATATTTTATCTTTATAAATAATATTAACATATATTTTTAAGTAAATAATAATTATATATACTCAAATTTATTCTTAAAATTTAAAAAATTATTTTTAAATTTTAAGTAATATCTTATTTTGACGTAGATCACACGATAACATTATGAATAAATCCAATTTTATGTAATATATCAAGATATTTTTAAAATAAAAATAAAATAAAATAATAAAAATATGGAAAGTAATAAAGCTTATATTACTAAACACAAATATTAAATAATTTTAAAAAATTATTCGGGGAGCAATTTTGGTGGTGGAGTCGACCAGGCGAGTCAGCTAAGAACCAGCTGTCACTGGCGCATGTTCACCGCCGATTAGACGCAACCAAAACTTTCCACGCGCTATTCCCTGGGTCCCACTAACTCCCTCATTTAACTGCCACCACTTCCGTTTTTTTTGCTATTTCCACTCTTATTTTCCTCATTCGTTCTGTTTTTTTTTAAATTAATTAATATTTAATTTTAATTATTTCCTGTTTAATAAAACCCAAAATTTGGAAATTAATTTTTATTTCCCATTTTTTTAAAAAGTTTCCTCTTTAGTTTCAATTCGTTTTAAATTGTTACTTATTTGGGAAGAGAGAAATTTTGAATTGAATTTTGATTGTATATTTAGGCAATAGATAATTAGACACCCCAAACTAATGAAAGAGACACAAAAAAATGTTTATCGATAATGATACCTAATTCATGTGGTCGGTATGTTTATATTGTTTTTAATACAAGGTTGGAATGACATTATTCATTTTAGTATAAACATATAACAAGCATAATAACAATTATTATTTTTAACTAATAAATCATAAAATAAGTGAAAGTGTAATTTTTTTTTAAATTAATAGATGTAATTGTAATTAATATAGAATTAAGA